AGAGTGGAACGAGGATCTAAGATGATTTTGTATGTATCCCTAACCTTGAATGTAATAAATAGACAAATAATCTCCATTCCAATTGGTCAAATCAGAAGTTTTTGGAGATTCAGGTGACGTACTAGAGGACAGAAGCTTGTTTCAGAAATTGGATGCCCCTGAATGGTCGTGTGGTGTATTTTTACTATAGTAAATTTAGTCATGCAGAGGCATTAACTTGTTATTTTGAAAGGTGCATATTCTAAAAATTAGCATCGCACGAGGTTAGGAGAGGTGCAGAACACTCTCTTGGATGCTAGCAGTCCAGTCTTGTTGCGCAATGGCATGCTGCACCTATACATTATGTACTGTACTAGTCTACATGATGGTTGCATTTTTGGTTGAATATTTCTTTGTGTACTACGTACCTCCGCTGTACCGTACATCACTGACGTACTCATCAAAACTTTTGAAATAACGCCCCGTGAATCACGAGCGAATCCGTCGGCTGTTTGCAAGGTTTTCAAAAAGCTTGGTGTTGGCATTTCCAAACACACATCGTCCGGCCAACAATCCGTACGGTACGACGTCCACAGAAAGAACCATTCACGCATCAAGCAGGAACTACGGCAAGTGCTCGCACCGTACCGTACCATCGGTCAATAACAAAACGAGTGCGACGACCTCTGTGACACATAATCGCACCAACAGGGATTAGCGATTTCTTTTGTGCCGCAAAAGGTACCAAGCGAAACAAAGCCAAACAACGATTGCGATTTCGACCGATGCCGGGACTTCTTTCACGATTCTCGTTCCTGGTGTTGGCACTTCTGGCAGCTACCGATGCGCTGTCGGAAAGACCCGGTGGCAACGAAGTCTTCCTTCCGTCACCACAACCACCGATAAATATCATTGTCGTTGGCGGGAGCAGCGGAATGGGAAAGGCCGCCGCGATTGCCTGTGTCAAACGAGGCGGAAAAGCGCTCATTGTGAGCCGATCGGAGGAAAAGCTCGCCAGGGCAGCCGAGGAAATCCAGTCCTATGCGCCACAACGGGACACCTCGTGCGAGGATAGCGACGATGAATCGACAGCTTCGATGGTAACGACAGCCGTCCTCGATGCCTCCGATGAGGAGGCCGTGGAGTTGTTTTCCAAAACCCTGCCTTCTGTTATGGGGGACGAAACCTGGGACGGCCTCGTCATATCGGCGGCCGGAAGCGCTCCGCACGGAGCCATGGAAGAACTGGAAACTTCTAAGACGAGAGACCTATTTGAATCGAAGTTCTGGTCTGCCTACCACTGCGCCAAATACATCGGACCAAAGCTCTCGGAAGGAAGCGGTGTCGTCTTTGTGGCCGGGGTGCTCAACCGGCGGCCCGGGAAGAACTGTGTCCCGCTGGCATCGACGAACGGTGCCCTCGAGGGACTCACGCGGTCCCTGGCCCTGGAATGGGGACCGAGGCTGCGGGTCAACTGCCTGAGCCCCGGTTTTTGCGACACGGAGCGGTTCGACCGGATGGATCCGGAACGAAAGGAAGCAATGCTGGCCAACACGGCCGACAGCCTGCCCCTGAAGCGGACGGGGGTGCCGGAAGACATGGGAGAAGGCATCTATTATTTGCTGACGGCAGGGTTCTGCACCGGAGTCGTCTTGGACGTCGATGGCGGGCACGGCATTCGCCAATACGCCAACGCCCAAAGCGATCCAATGCGGCAATCCGTCGGCACTAAATTGTGAGTGTAACTACAATGAGGGGCAACAACTACAGCAAACACGAACAGCAAAGAAGAACCGAAGCATCCTGGCAACACCTCGTTTCTCGTCGGAACGACTGTAGAGGAGTCACTTAATTTTTCCTTCCGAAGCAACCAGTTGACACGGAGATATCGATACAAAGTACTTTACTTCGGAGCAATTTTTGACAATGTATTCTATGTGGCTATCTTGCTATTGCTATTCCTAGAACATTCTTCAGCACTTGGTGATACTAGTACAGTAGGCACGTTATTCTATGATTTGAGTGTGCGTTATGCTCGCAGCGCTGATTATGCTTGTTTAAATTGTAGATCTTCATCCACTGTAAAGTACGTACCTCTTATCGGAACACGTAAAAATGTGCGTCGGAGTCGGAACCGGTAGGTGAGCAATATGCAGCCACGGTATTTGCTTCCTCGTTTTCTGGCCGCAGATCTTCAGAAGAAACGTCGAGAGGAAGTATTATTGTGTGGTGGTGTCGGTTCTTCGTCGCCCGTTCTTTCCGTTGCTTACGGTTGGTGCGCCGGACCTTCTTTCGTCGTCTTCGGGGAGGTGAATCGGGGTTCGGGAATATGGTTCCTTCGGCAAATTTGACACCAACTGAATTAGAAGAATTGGGTTTTGCGGAACTCGAAGATCGTCTTGCGAACTTCTTCTTGCGGCTGCTGCGACAATACTTCGGTTGCCGAAGGATCGATGTGGGTGGCGGAAGCTTGCGGTGTGGCCATATCGTTTCGTCATCCTCGTAGTCGGCAGACGGCATTGTAGAAGAACCACTGTTAGAAGAACCCGACTCTGTGGTGGAACCCAGCTCGATGGGACGCTGTTTCTTCAAAAATGTGGCCTTGTTCACAATCTTCAAGAGTCGTTCTCTCCTCGTTTCCTTTCTCGATTTCGGTGAGGGGAGGGATGGATCGCTGTAACTCGACCCGCACGAAGGCGAGCTCACACTCGAAATGTTGTCACACTCTTGATTTCGGTCCTCTATCACMACTATCGAAAGGTCGCATCGTTTCGATATCCGTTTCGATCTCGTTTGTGACTCCGATTTCGACTGTTCCTTTCGATCGGCAGCGTTGCGGCTGCGATGGCGAGAGCCTCCGTTTCTCCGTTGCTTTTGTCTCCCTCTGTTATGAGATTGCCGTTGCAGATTTTGTGACTGGCGCTCGATCATTTTGCCATCGCGTTTCGATGTTTTCGATTGTCTGTCTTCTGTTTCTTGGTCTTGTGGGCATCCATCTTTGTCGGGCTTTTTGTTGTTCTTGCTATTTTTGTCTTCGAATTGATGCCGCGAGCACGTACTAGGGGAGTACAAAGGGGAAAGGACGACGTCATCCTCGCCAAGACTGACATTGCTATCGCGATCTTGTTCCGTTTCTATTTGATAATGAAAACAGCCATAGGAACGTTGCTTTTGTTTTGAAACAGATATTTTGGTTGAGCGTTTCTTCTTCGCGTGGTTCTTGTTTATCTTCCTGACGCTTCCGTTGCTGTCGCTGCTGCTCTCAGATGCGGTAAGGGACACATCGGACCCTCCATTGCATCCGAAATAATCAAATACGGCCTTCTGTTGAGCCTCAAAGAAGGACGCATAGGGCAATCTTGAAGCAGATGAAGGAGGTGTGAAAGGAGAAGAGGCAGTTTTCGATGCTGTCGTTGCTGTCGGTGAATTCGTTGTCTTGTTCATAGATGGCTTTGTGGGCGCGGCTTGGCTCTTGCTTGAATTGGTGTTGATGTTGATGTTGATGTTGCTCCTGCTCTCGCTGTGGTTGTCGTAGCTGCTGGTGATGTTGTCGTTGCTCTTCCCGGTATGAATGATGTCTTCCTTCGAAGTTTTCCCACTTTCGATAGTGAAGTGGTACTTGACACTCACCATGGTGACAATGTTTCGAAGCCTTGTCACAAGTCGAGTGGAGTTGATGAGAATAAAAATACTGAGTAACGCTGGAGGTAGGAATCAATGGCGTTTCTGGAGGGTAATTAGTGTTGTAAACCATACTCCTCTTTTTGGAACGACGTGTGTGTGCGTTGTTTTTTAGGTCCCTGTTTGTTGGATGCACTTCCAGCGACAAGACATCAGAGATTGAATGTGACTCTCCTAAACCCGGGGGGTGCAGTGCACGGTGTCACGCGTAATCGGCAGTCGCAAGTTGATGGGTGCGATGGTTCCGGTGAAAGAATTTATGAACTCGCTTATTTACAGTATTTCGCAGAAAAGGTGCACCCTACGTTGAACGGATGGAAATACCATAATAAGTGACATAAATAGTGAGTTTTCGAGCGCAAGGCAAGAAAATGGGTCGCAAAAAGGCGCGCTGTTTCTAACAGGATGAGACTCCTAAGGTTAAACAGCCGTACCAAGTATCGCTAATTTGCGACAGATGCAGAAAACGCACGTGCACGAACCCATTCCGGAAGTAAAAAGATCGACATTTTACAACAGCCCATAAAATTGATGCCGTGCGCGATCGGAAGGTGTCGACAAAATTCTGATCGCCATCTATCAAAATCAAAAATAAGCGACTAAGAAATATGCGAAGCGATTACGGGTACGGTAGGAAATCACTTGTATGTGTGTACTGATATGCCATTTAGGCTTCCAGCTGCTGCAACGTTTTGCGTTCAGGACCTAGGTTTGTTTTCAACCTCTGATAAGTAAAAATAATGTTCATATGTAAAAATATCATTGCGGACAAAGTGTTCGGAGCTGCTTAAACCGGGAAGATGGATTTTTCGAGCAGTATTCTGACACTTCTCCATCACAGTCGAATCGTGAAATTCTGATTGACATGCACCTCTAGAAAGAAAGTACGACCTCGGCAATTGAAAATTCGGCAACGGAATACCCCCTACTTTTCTCTAATGTGACCTATAATTGAAAAATACTTTTTTTTTTTCCTCACTTGTTCCTTGAACCGATCTTCCTAGAATTGCTTGACACCTTTGTCACGATGTGAGAACTAGACCTGTATTAGGGTTCTTCTTTTAACCAATTTCACTTTTTCAAACACTACTTTCAAAAAAGCCGTGAATATTTACTTAAGAGATTAATATACTCATAATTAATTGACTGAAGCATATTTTTTTCGTTTTCGGCGAGAGATAAAAGGTACCGTACAGCAGTAGTTTTCTATTTATTAATGTCTACTTAATGCTTTGACGAATAAGACATGTGACGCCAAAAAGCCATGTACGGTAGGGCACGAACCGATCGACTCTTACTGGTCACCATCCATGGTGCGTCATTTCCATTAGCCTACACGTAGATTTGCTACTGAAATTGAACGAAGCGATAACAGCTATGTATTTTTGTCCGCCCTGCCGAAGTTACAGCGTGCGCCAAATTTTTATGAAAAGGTTTAGCCGCCCCACCCTTGACAAGTACCGTACTGCTAGTCATGCGAAGTATTCTTGTACTGATTGATTCGCTTTTGTCCCTTCTGCCATTTCAACACTAGTGATCACTCTGACACCTCAATAAATGAATGGACAGTGTCAGCAAGGGTATTCGATCGCTTACAATTCTGTTTATCTTTGATAAGGAACAAACACTACACCACGGACTATTATTTCCTGAGTGTAGCAGCGTGAAACTTGAAACGCAAAACATAAAACGCCAAACATCGACCTAACAAGAATCAGGATCGCTCAAATACAACCGTTGGTTTGAGCAAAGTTTATCCTGCTGTGTCGGTTTTGGATCAAATCGTAGTAATCTATTTGAACCCCGAAACGAAAACAGATTGATCGACTTCGCAAGAACGAAGACAACAAGACGACTGAACAGAAAATGCCTTCCATTGTACATGCTCGGCACGAATTGAAATATCTCATGGTACAAGAACAAGAGGTAATCGTAAACCAGCAACACCCAAAAAAGAGCATGAGCGTGGAAATGTCGAACAGTATCGGCGAGCTTGATACGTATTGCAATAAACCATTGCTTCTGGCACCAGTAACGGCAACGGATGCAGAATGTGGAGATACTAGCGATGACGCGACGAAGACAACTTCTGGTCCGGAAGACGACGAGGATGGTTCTCGGATTGAATGTGAAACGGATGATCGCGACGCCAACAACGAGGAGAACAATAGCCTATCGACTTTGGATAGCAACAGTATAAGCTCGGCCGCTGTTGCCAATGCGCTGGCAACCGAGGATGCTGCCGCCGCAATTCCCAATTTCCCTGAGTGCAATAAGAAAGCAACTGAGAACAAGAGATCTGTTCAGTTCGAGCCCATGTCTACGATGTACGTCTTTGACGATGACGAGAGTAGCGAGGGTTGCGAAGACGAGGTGGAAGGCGATGAAGTTCGTGCCCAGGAACAATCCATCGATCGAGATGTCTTTTCGTGCTACAGTACCAATGCTATCGCTAGCCCTAAGCCCTCACAGAGCGACCCGAGTGACAGTCTCTCTTGCAACAAGTACTACATTGAGAACGCCTGGTATTCCGCCAATGATATCAAGGCATTTCGAGCGGATGCGTGGCTCACGGTGAACTGGATGGTCCTGAACGGTTTTGCCGGAGAAAACATGGCTTACATCACGGGGAAGCACCTGGAAGAAGCCGTTGCTCTCGACTCGGGAGATCACCCCGAACAAGACGAATTAAAGCTTGATAGTGACACCGAGTCGGCGGCGATGCTCTCCGCAAGGGTTCAGCAAGAAAAAGATCAAAAAGATCCCCAGCCCCGGTACTCCTTTTGCTCCAGGGGCGTAGAGTGCCGAACCCCACTGGGACGAATCGTGAAGAACAAGCGTCGATTAGACGCGATGCGAGCCGTCCTATTGTACCAACAGATGCAAAAGAACAGCCGAAGGGTGCAGCGCCGGAAGGCAATCAAGGAGCAACAGCGCAGCAACAGCAACAAGGGGTATGACAACTGCAACGAAACCGACTACGACCACCTGGAACGACTCCGAAGGATCGAGATCGAGATTGACACGGAGGCCCTGGCAAACGTGTACAGATCATACTGCGAAGAAAGCTGCTCGGTGGCTCTTGCCCTCGGTCGACAGGACGCACTCGACGCCGGAATTCCAAAACCACCACCCATCGAGAACAGGAACAGCAACCCAGTGGTGGATTCGTCGCCCCCGGGATTGACACTGGTAGCATCCTCCTCGGACGTATCGTCATCCTCGTCTCTCTCCAACTCCACGTCGGCAACAAGTGTCACGGCTTCGGTAGCACCACCAAAACTGCCACCCATCGAGCCGGAATTTCTCACCCATCGACGATCGAGATCCCTGTCTATCGAGGACCCTCAAACCATCGGCAAGGTCATCGTTGACTGTCCATCTCTTTGCGACGACGACGACGATGACGAGGAAGACCTTGCAACTCTAGTCTCTCTCTCCTATGTCCGCCATCCAATTGTCGAAGAGTATGGTTGTGGCGAGCAAGACGAGGAGGAAGAAGAGCACCAAAAGCAAGGCCTATCCCACCGCCATCCAATTGTCGAAGAGTATGATTGTGGTGAGCAAGACGAGGAGGAAGAAGAGYACCAAAAGCAAGGCCTATCCCACCGCCATCCAATCGTCGAAGAGTATGATTGTGGCGAGCAWGACGAAGAGGAGGAAGAGCACCAGAAACAAGGCCTATCCCACCGCCACCCAATAGTCGAAGAGTACGAAGACGAAGAAGACGATGACGAAAGAAATGAAAGAAGTCGCGACACCACGGAGGAAGAAGGATCCCAGCAGAGCCGAGCGTCTCATGCAACAAACCACTCCTCGTCGTTTTCGGTTGCCATTTCTGTTTCAAGTGACGGCTGCACTAACAAAGACAACAGCAACAATAAAGGCACGATCGATGTATCCGTCGTCGAGGTAACATTGCACTACAAAAACCCTACAACATCGTTGCCTTCTACTGTACAGACAGACGATGATCATGCTTCCAACCACCAAGAGATTCCGCACATAGAATCAATTCCTCCTTCCCACAATCGGGATGCTTCCTTGCCAGCACCAAAGGTTTGGAAATCCCCCTCGGAGTTGCTCTCCTGCTCCTCCTCCAAGCCGTGTGCGTCGCCCGACGCTACTGCTAATGAATTGGATTTGCCATCGGTCGCAAACAAACCTGTGGCGATAGCGCATGAATCAAGCTCCAAAGTGGCACATGACCTTCCTTCCTCGCCTCCTTCCTCGCCACCCCGCTCTTCTTCTTTTGATCGGCTACTGGACGTAGTATCCGGTGGTCTTTATTGGTGGTGAATCAAACCATCTCCTCAATTTTGAATTGTTCAATTCATCTGTACAAACTCTTAATCTATAAAACATAACATACATCACTACATTCAATAATTTATTGCTTTTACGATACATTATAAGTACTTCGGAAAGTATTGATAATGGTTTTCAACGCGGGAAAGCGTGGCTCCATGCATACGTAGTATTACATTGACACCATGTCCTAGTAGTACTTTTCAATGGGAATCTTCTCCCACCTTTCTTTTTAGCGCATCGAATATTTCACTTGCGACATACCCCATAAATAATAACGTTTTTCCCTCCTCGAATAGTTTGGGAATCTCTTTCACTCGAAGCAATTTAATCTGAAGTTCATCCAAACTATTGCTATGAATTGCTATATGAATCATGCACGAGTACCGTCTAGTTTTTTATCATTTATCTAAGAAATAATCGTGGAAATCATCCGGTGGATCCACTTCTTTTTCGTATATCCTGCTGTTCTCGTTGCGAGTCAGGCTTTCGAACATATCACGAACGCCAGCTATGATCCTATCGTCGTGGTTTCTCTCGTCTCTATCCCAATCTTCAACAGCTCGACTTGACTCCAAGCCGTCTTTCCCCCTATACTTTCGTTTCTTTGGATACATAATCCGTCGCTCAAAAATCATTTCAATATTTTCTCGGGTTTGTAGTAACAGATTCACCGTCTCGTCAGATTTCCCCCCGTCTACGGCAATCCAACCATCTAGGACTCCACGAATTCGATGTTGGTAGTCGTTGTTTCGTCGATTGTCGTCAAAATTGTCGCTATTGCCATGCTGTGCCAGATCATATCCTCCGAACAAGAGTATTTGCTCGGGGGCAAGAACAGTACATCCCCTAACATAGACCTGTGACGTAAGAATTTTTTCGCTGTATAGATACCAGTCTGATGGCAACGACATTCCGTTTTCAGGTTGGTCGCGGTGGTAAAGGACCGATGAAGGGTGCAAACTGGCATTGTCCTCGTGTTTGGTGCGAATCACGCCAAAGTGACCTAGCCGTCTGCGCGAGGCAAGGTTTTCGGGAAAAGCCGTGCACCAAACGGCGCTGGTGAGCATCTCGCAGCTGGAATGTTCATTCACCGTAGCTTTCGGAGATAGATCACCCCGGCTCGATACGCGTTGGTTTCTGCTACTCCCTCTGCTGCTGCTGCTGCCAGTGATAATGTCACCCTTGGGGACCAACCCAGCCTTGCGCAATTCGTTCAAGAGTTGCAACCGAACTTCTCTGATGGCTATCATGGCGGGCACGCTAACATAGTGACAATATGCCCATTCCCTGGCATTCTTCCAACCATCTTCCGATACTTTTTGCCAAAACGAATCATAGGCTCGCACCGATGCCATAATGTCAGAGTCATCGCTGAACCACTGTCGAATTTTCTTGCTTTCCTTTCGCTCACCGGGTGGGTCGTAAAAGGGACTCCGGCCGCTGAGGCAAGATGCGGCCGTCAGCAAGGGGCCGAGGCATTTCATGACCACACCCATGACCAGCATTTTGCCCGTGGCTGGATCCAGCGGCAATCGAGCGAGAAACTGTCCCAAGGGGGTGAGGTGTTCCCGCTCGATTCCGTCTCCGCTGCCAGCAACCGTCGTGATCCCACCGATCTTTTTGAGACGGTCTACGGCCAAGGCAACCGAGACAGCGTCGGGAGGATCCATGGCACGGGCCAAAAAGTCTTGCACGTTGGAGAATCCCCGCGTGGTTTCCATTGTCGAACAAGTCTGGAGGCAGATAGATTCGAGGGCAGCCCTTTTGATCTCAGGGGTCGCTCGCTCTTCCATGGCCTCGAAATCTCCCCGCGAGTACAGTCGATAGCATGTCCCCGGAGCTACTCGACCCGCACGGCCCATCCGTTGCGTGGCGGAGGCCTTGGAGGTTTGGTTGGTTTGCAAAGAGTTCATGGCCGAGCAAGCGTCAAAGGCCATTTCTTTGACCAAACCGCTGTCGATCACGGCCAGCACGTCGTCGATAGTCACAGAAGACTCTGCAATGTTGGTTGACAAAATTAATTTGATCGTTCCCGGTTTCACGGGATCAAAGATCCTTTGTTGGTCGTCATACGGAAGCTTTGAATGCAGCGGAAGGATGGATATTTTGCTGCGTAGTTTGGGACACGGACAGTGGTCATCGATCTCTGCCATGCAGTTTTTGATCTCGTCCATGCCGGGCAAAAAACACAAGATGCTTCCCCCGCGATTGGCGTTTGTTTCGGCCATGCAGAGGTGGAGGGCCATTTCGGAAACAAGACTGGTCATTGTAGCGCTGAAATCAAAATTCTTGTTGTCCTTAGAAAGGCTCCTGTTGAAAGAGAGGGAAGATTCCTCGGAAGAGTTGTTATGCTGCAATGCCAGTTCTAGCGCAGCGATTCGATTGGCTCTTTGCTCCTTTTCTTCGTCATTGGAACTGCCATTGGCATGTCCACCACTTCCCATTTTGGTGCCATGCTGTTGCATGTTCAGTTTTTCCAGTTCTTGCCGGAGCGACTCTTCCTTGTGCTGTAACAAGCTTTTTGCCAGGGCGTTCATCCGCGGTGAATAGCGAGCCCCACATCCAATTAGGTCTTCGAGATAGAAAAGATCCACGGGATGTCGGGTTTGGGAGGGGATGCTCAGGATAGGGACGGAAGACGAAGGATCGAGGAGGCTGCTCCTTCCACCTTTCGACGAAACACCGCCGCCGTCGCCGCTGCTGCTGCTTCGTTCGCCGTAGTTCCGCGACGAAAAATAGTCGGCAAAGGACCGGGCATCCAGCGTGGCCGACATGAGCACGATCCTTAGGTCGGGCCGTTCTTCCAGGAGGTCTCTCAGGAGAACGAGCAAGAAATCCGTGTTGGTGTCGCGCTCGTGGACCTCGTCGATCACCACGTGCGAGATTCCCTCCAGGCCCCCGCCGCAAGCCGCCATCAGCCGCCGCAGCAGGACGCCCGTGGTCACAAACTCGATGCTCCCGCCCCCGGAACGGGGCGGCCTGGACCGGAAGCGGACGGCATACCCGACCGAGCGGAGGTCCTTCCCGGTGGTCTCGCTGGCGTCGAACCGCTCTCTGGAGACGCGCTCGCAGAGGCTCACCGCGGCCATGCGGCGGGGCTGCGTGACGACGATCCGGGTGGAGGACCCCCTCCCGCTGGCGAGGGCGTCCTCCAGGATGTACTGCGGGCACTGGGTGGACTTTCCGGACCCGGTGCCCCCCGACACAACGACCACCCTTTGCAAGCGGAGGGCGTCCAGGAGGTCGGCGCGAATGGCCCGCACGGGCAGCTTGTTCCGGGCCTCCCTTAGTTCCTCGAAGGCTCCGGGGTTGTCTTGGGCGTGGTGCTCTAGGTTCGCCCGTTCCGTCTCCCAGAGATCCCGATCGAGTGCCGATGAGTGGAGCTGCGGGAGCGGATCCTCCACACCTTTGTGTTTCCTTTCGCCGCTCGGTCGATCGGCGTGGGAGCCGGTGCCTCCAGACTCGTCGTGGTCTTGATCGTTATCGTGGTCGTTATCGTCGCCGCTCCCTCCGGAGAGCGGGGGGCCCTCCCATCGCATCCCCTTGTTCCCCGGCCCCGACCTTTGCTTCTCGAGGAGGCGCTTGTGGATCCGCTTGCGCGATGCGTGCTCCCTTTCCGCGGCGGAAGCCTMCTCCCTCCCGGGAAAGACCGACTCCCTCAGGGCTTTTAGCAGGGGACCGGAGAGCCCCCGGACGCGCAGGGGCACCACCCTCCCGGACGGGGAGGCGTCCAGGAGCGGCCCGAGGGACCTTGCCGCTTCCGCGAGGGGGCTGTCCTCGTTCTGGTCGAGGAGGGCCACCAGGGCCCGCTGCTCCGCGGCGGCCTTGGTGGGAGATCGCCACTGCTTGAGGGGTTCGCTCTCGGAAAAGTACCACCTGCCCCCGAACCAGGTTTCGGCGTCGGCCGTCCAGAAGCGCTGCGGCTGGGCACCCGAAGAAGCCCTGCGGCGCCTCCGGCCCCTCCCGGAAGCGCCTCCGGCCCAGGGGGCCTCCCAGAGGAATTGCTCGTGGTCGTACTGGATCCTGGAACAGCCCGCCAGCTCCAGCAGGTTCCGGACCCTCTCGTACCGAAAGCGGTGCCCGTCGTCTTGGTCGGCCCCTTCCTCTTGTCCCCGCCCACCGGGGGCCTCTTGAGCGGGCCTTTGGTTCCCGTCCCACCCCGGCCAGGCCCCAAAGGGGAGGGTGAGGTCGATCCCCGTCGCCTCCTCCCACAGGACGATCTGGTCGAGGGCCGCGAGGCTTTCGGCCTTGGCCTTGGAGGGGGCGATCCCCACCGAGACCATCTCGATCCAGTCGAAGCGGGGGTGGACGCCGACGTGGTCGTGGCCTCCGAGCCTCTCGTACAGGCAAGGGTGGCAGCCGTGGCCCCGATCGGCGAGAGAAAGACCACCGCCACCGGAAGCCGTCTTCTCCACCATGGTCACTGCCGTCGCCACAAAGAGGCCGGGCCCCCCAACGGGAGCCGCAACGGCCTTGGTGCGGTACTGGGGGAGGTCGAAGCCGAAGCGGTCGCAGGCCCTGTGCCAGACCAGCTTGGGGGTGGGCCCGGGGGCAACGCAGGGGCCGATGAGGCCATGGAGGCCCGAGAGCCTTGCGCCGTAGCCGCTGCCGGCCGATCCCCCCAGCGTCCTCCCCAGGAGCTCCTCGGTCAGGACCCTCCGGCCCAGGGGACCGAGGGGGTCTGGTTCCTCCTCCCGATGTGGTCCGCCGCGCCGGTTCTTTTGGTTTTGGTTTTGGTTCTGGTCCTGGCTCGGAGTGGATCGAAAGAACCGCTGCTGCAGCGATTGCCATTGGGTCCGGGGTTTTGGTGCTTTTGGTGCGAAAAGCAGGGGAAGAGAAAGTCCCCGGTGGCAATCGCTATTGCCGTCGAACCGGCAACCACCGGCACGGACGTAGCAACGATGTCCATTGTTGCCGCAGTAGCTGTTGTTGCTGTCGTTTCCCCCAAAATTTCTGTTGCAGGTGTTGTTCCGTGTGGCACCGTGTTTGTGCTTGTGTTTGTGATTGTTCGTTCGGTGGCCGAATTTCGCACCGACGGATCTTCCGTGGGACCCCACTCTGGCATCAAGACCGAGGGAGGCTTGCGCAAAAGGGTGGCGGGGGAGAAAGGAGGAGCACGACCGGAAGGAAAGGAGCGGTCGGAGCCTCCGGCGGCTGTTGTAACAGTTGTTCCTCGCGGGGATCATTGCAATCCTTTCGCCGGTCCCGTTGCTTGCACGGATGCCGCTGCCGAGTTGCTTGGAAGCGCTCGGAAGCCAGCGAGGCGGGGCCGGCAAGCAGGGTACGGTACGGCACGGCACAATCACCGCGGTTGCGATTGGGATTGGCGGTGCTTGTGTTTTGTGTTTTTGTTGTTGTTGTGGGTTTGTTCTATTCTACTGGGCACCGATGAAAACCGGGAAAACAAAAAATGTCGCGAACTTATTCTGTACGGTACGAGTCGTACATAATGTACGCAGGCCAGATGCACAAAACTAAAATACAAGTACTACTACCGCAGTACAGTACTGGTAACTGGTAGTCGTTGCCTTGGCAGTGTGAGACAATCGGATGAATGGACAGACGTCGAATGGACCGGTCCAAATTGCAAAGTACTGTACAACGTACGGTACAACGTAGGGTGCCGATCATTCATCGGTGAACCCACAAATCAAACCCTGCCCCCCCAAATGAGGGGTGTCAAAGGGGGGGATGCAAGCCCGGGTTTCCGTTCCGGAGCAATGGGCCCCGGCTGAATGCATGACATGTGACATGATTGCTTTCCATACCGTACGTACAGTATGACGGTGCGGTACCATACGTATGAAGCACTGCAACATTTTTTCTTATCATCCAGTACCAATCAAACACATATCGCATTCAACTCAGCCAGCATCACGCACGCACCCGGTAGAGCGGACTCGTACCGGCAGGACAAGCTTATGAATCCCCAACGGGATACAACGATCCCTCGAGGTTTATTTATGTGCCCGATTTGGGATACTTAACGTTACCCGTCCCGACAGGGTTTCGTCGATTTAAGGATGAACGAGGACTGGTTCCGTCACTGCGACCCATTCTTGGTGGTATGCTTGTCGCAGGCGAACCCTAAGACCCCAAAACCCCATAAGCAAAAGGATCACGCGGGTCTGCGGCCCGGACCGGACCGAACCCGGTGCCGTTTCCTTCCTGCGGAATGCTCGTACACCGGTACGTACCAAGTACGATACAGTACTGTCCCGTGCAACCGAACAATCACCAAAACAGAGAATGTTCCCCGGGATGGGAAGGGCACGTTTTTCGTTGTGGACAACGCCATTGCCGCCCGTGGTTTTCGTCGAGCCCCAACATTTTTCCTGCCGTGATTCTCGGCCCTGCGCCGGATATTGCATATCCCCACCGTCACGCACGGCTCCACCCACAGACACAAAACGCTGAAATCATACCATACTTTTTAAGTAATCATCATCGAACCCCTTGGTACGGTACAACAAGCACGCAGACGCCGGCAAAGAAACCACCGTCAAGACAGCACCTGTTCAACCATCGATCTGTTCCGCACCCTGTAATATTTGCATCGAACCCAATCATTCGATTCGAAACCTTGCACACGCCACGCCACGCCAAACAAAGACAAAGGATCCCCCGATCCATCGTCCAAGACGCAACCCCGAGTCGAACCGGATCTCGAAAGGCAAGACAACGCATCGCATCACATCGCAACAACACATCGCAACACATCACAACAACACACTACACACCACAAAATGTTCATGAGCGAGAACGACCTTGTCATGTTCGGGGCCGGCGTTGCCGTCGGCCTGGCCTCCCTGACCGTGGCCGTCTGGATCGCCATCATCTGCATCCGGCTCAAGGACATCGACGACTACCTCCACGACGAGGAGCGGACGGTCTCCTCGTCGGACGACCACGACCTCTCGGTGGACAAGGCCAAGGAACGGAGCGGAACCGTGGGTGCAGCCGGGGTCGCGATTGTTGTCCCTTCGACCGTTGCGGTCGAAGCCGGGAGCGACGACGATGACAACGAGGAAAACAACGACGACGCGGACCGGGACAGCGAGGTCAAACGCAACGAAAGGACAAGGGACAACAGCCGTCGAAGCCTTGGCACGGCGGGCGCCGACCGCGGGGAAGAAAACCGGGCGAGCGAAGCGGTGTAGCGTGCTGCCCTTTGAGGCGGGCAGAAAACGAAAGCAAAGCACAAAAAGGCAAAGCAAGCACGCACGCACCGACACGACACGGCACGAACTTCCAACGAGGAGGAACTCCTCAAAGCGGCCCAGCAAAGCAAACCACGAAGCGGAAGACAAGCAAAGCAAAGCACACCGCGGCAAAGCACACACGTGCGGTTCCCGTTGGTGCGGGTTTTGGTTTGGCCCTGCGGCGTGCGACCGGAGCCACGGGCCAAGAATCCTTTTCCCGAAACCTGCACCGGGTTGCATTGCACTGCACTGCACTGCGTTGCGTTGCGTTTCCGGGCGGAGTGGAGCGAGATCGCGCCTTGGCCGTTCTCCCTCGCCTGCGGTTCCGGCCGGGAGGACCGGACCGACCGATGGAAGTCCCGGTCGATTGGCCGGCAAAGGACGCCACGCCACCTCACCCCTCGGTGAGGCAGAAGACGGCCCGGTTCCTAACTACCTACGGTACCTACCTACCGCACCCATTCGTTTTGCATCTACGGTACTAGAATACGAACGTATAAACCAAAGTGTACCATATATACTTTTTAGCTGCTACAACACTAATTTTACTGTACTGTATTGTTACACCGCTCCGAGACGCTCTCTTGTTCATTGGCGGGGAAAGGATGCCGTAGGCAGGCATGTTCCAACAGATCTTTTGTCTCGTACGGTAGAAGCAGTGGTCGGAATAGAAGTTCGTAACATACCGAACGAGTTCGCATTGCTACTAGCAGTAGTATTGTACCTGCCTTGTATTATATTGCCTACGGTACCAACCGGTACCGTTTCCAGGAACCGGATCGAAGCGAAGCTCGATCGAACCAACCCGCAATGTTTTTATCTCTCGCTTTCGTGCTCCGAAATGCGCAGCGATCCGGAACGTTCCGCGTGGTCTCCCGCTCGCGTGGCGTCCTACGAGCACCCGCCACGAGAACGTTCCCGTTGCGTTCCGAGTTCGAGTTCCGAGGGGAGAGACCCCGATAACCGCGATATTTTTTTTTCAAACGGGGGGCTGTTCGGGTCCGACGCCACGCAAGGCACCACCTTCAAGACACATAAACTATGTCCCAATCAGTGCTCTTAGTCAGTACTTTCTATTTCATTTCTGTGTTGCAGCAAAGTCTCGCTCCCCCTGTAGTAGATCAGTTCATTATTCAAATACTAGCTACTAGTAGTAGTGTTACAAATGAATGCAAGAAGTGAATGCTATCATAATGCAAGAACAAAGAAACTGACCTTCTTACTAGTTATGAGAATAAGCAGACTGTAGATTCAAATATTGGAACATGTTGCTTGAGCTGATGTTGCCTGTTTTATTGTTGTTGCCAGGCTATCTTTGTTGCAAATCTCCATTGCCAAAAATCGATTGCAAACATTGATAATAGTGAATCCCTCTTTCCAACTTTCTTGTCTTTTCAACTAACCAAACCAAATGCCATTCTTTTCAACTAATCCTCAGCCTCTACTACGACAGTATTCAAACCACCATGGGATTCATCCTAAAAATACTCCGTTTCCATTGGGGATATCCCGTGGCCAACTTCAAAGTACCCTTTGGCGAGATTGTTTTGTCCTCTGTAACAAGGAACTTCATTGGTAGTTGCCACGGGGGTCCTCATAAAGGTTGATAAGATTTGGTTCTTGTGTCCAACTGTACTGCATTGGAAGTTGAACAGGTTGATGAGGAGGTTCATGATGTTTTTCCTTTCCCTATCCTCTTCCAAGATCATTGGGTCTTTGATCCTTGGCAACTGTCCCTGGATCATCCTCGTCCCCCATTCGGACATCTGTCTCAATGACGTGGCGTCCCTGTTCATCAAGAGGAGGTTGTATCTGTCAGAATCCCTCTGTGAGCTTTTGATTAGGCTATGCTGGTATTGCTTCAATGCAAGTGCTGAGTCTACAACAACCTTTGTGCCACTGCACCTGTTAGTATAGACCTCCTCAATTTTTTTATAGACCCCGTGGTCAGCAAGAATGGAACTGTCATGCCAGGCCCCAGGAGGGTATTTGTATACTTCAATCCTAATTCTACCATCCGGGGCAAAGGAAAACACACAATTAACAAAGGTGTTCTCCTTCCAGGCATTGTAGAAGGCTCTTTGTTTATACCACCAGTCCTGTGACTGTTGGTGAATGACGTTCTTGAGACCATCAGCAGCAGACCAAACGCATTGTTCTCTGAGGCATGGATACTTGTTCCCAATACTAGCCTTACCATATTTATCCACTTCTTGCTCAGTTGGAACACTGACCATGACGTCTGGGTGTTTGTGAAGAGCAACAAGCATCACTCTCCTTGAAAACTTGAGCCACTTGTACATCAGTGTTGATGTCAAGCCAAATGCCATTGCCATCAACCTTGCTAGAGATCCTCTTGTCCTGTAACAATAGAGGAGGACCAGTCCAATACTAGCACAGACAGCGTCAACCTCTCTCTTTTTCCCCTTGGGCTTGCCACTTGAATAACAAGGAACCTCTGCAATCTCATTGTTGTTGTTGATAGTAATATTGTTGTATACTGGAGCAAATGTATCAACAAGAAGCTCTCTGAAGACCCTGTGGTCTACACCACAGCAGTTGAGCAGCAGTGCTTGGACAAGCCCTGAGTAGAAGAGGTGATGGAAGGGGGAATCAGCATATCTCTCCTGTCCCTCTGACATCTCACTTCCGGAGATAGTTTGTTTTTGTAACTTCTTTGCTGCTTGTCCATGTTCAACTGGAGGTACCAGTACGTTGTGATCACATCCACTACTCCCATTGCTATTGCCTTTTTTCTTGCTAGGAGGAAAGTCTGGTCTTTTAGTCCGGCTAATTGTTTGTTGTTGACTAGCTAGTAGCATGAGGAATGCACATATTTTCTGATACAATATTATATTACATTGAGAGTATCAAAAATATGTGTATCCCTTCCACTAGTACTAAAGTATCAATCAAAATTTGATGTTTTCTTTGTACCAAATGGCATGCATTTCAAGTCTTTTTAGTAGTCTTTACCTTTGAGTATAATTAAGATTGGAGTATAATCAAGATTCCAAATTCCAACAAAAGACTGCCATCGAGCCAGCATCCCTCTCAGTCTGTCTGTTGAATTTTTGATTCCCATTATGATAGAATTTCTAAACCACTAGATTTAGCACCACATTTAGAAATTTAGAATATCAGGAATGGTGCTTCTAATAACAAAAGTGTACCAGCATTGTCATTATTTCTTGCCACGCACAGTACTAGTACTAGAGTCTTAACGGGTTCAAGAGATTTGCCCATGAGTTTTGAAAACTCCTCCCTTTATTCCCCATTGGACACATTTGATTTGATTGGAGTTGATACCAACAAGCCACCAGATCCTCCATATTTTCAAAAAAAATGATCAGTTGAGGCAGGAGGCTGGCTTGATAGAAGTGGTTGCCAAGATAGTGCCCAATACTCTCGTCTTTGGTCAGTTGCAATTGACGTAATTTCCAGCAGAAGGAGGGAATTAGAAGTGGTCCTTCCTGCAGAACATTTCAATTATCTAGAACCAAAACTCTTTTGACCTCTGATTTGATCGTCAGTTCCTGAAAGATGCACCAAAAGTAATTTAGAAAATGCCTATCTTACTGAGCACATACTCCCAGTAGCTGGGAAACCTCAATATTACTACTACTATATTAAACCTTCTTGCTGTTGTAAAATAGGAGAGGTGCTGGGGTGACCTGAACAAGAAGAAGGATGCCTCAGCTGGAGAGAGTCATATCCAGCCTCATCCTTAGTAGTTGTCAAGTAATATAGTAGTACTGACTAGTAGTATTCCTTGAAAAGAAATGCTACCACCAAAGCAGACAAGAACAATTGGTACTTCTTCTTCAGCAAAGAAGTCTCACCACTTGCACTAATAGAACTGATTTGTAGTTACCTCTCATCTTCTTGTCTTGCTGCATGATTATACTTCACCAGAGTATTTTTTCTTGTAGAAGAATTACTGTGGTGGAGACTGCAGCAGTTCACCACCATCAAGCAGTACAAGTAGTAGTAGTGTAGTGTTAGCAGTAGTAAAAAGAAGCCCCCCATCCTTAACATGTTATTGCCAATACTAGAACTATGAACAGGCAAGAAAAGTAGAAGAAGAACATGGGGGATACCTTCTCACAGTGGTGTACCAGCAGGAAGAGGGGGACAAGAACAAGGACAAGGAACAAGATCAAAACCACCACCAATAGCAAGCATCAGGAAAAGAACAAAAATAAGAAGGAGCTCAACAAGCAACAGCAAGACAAGGAGAAGCAGCACCGGCACCAACAACTCCTCATCACAAAAAATGAGAACCACGATAGTACTAATACTGATAAGAATACTGCTGCTTGTATGAATGCTAAAGGTAGTACTAGTACTACTAGTAATGGCACCACTGGATTCTGGCCTCACATTGGTCATTCCCTTTTCAACAAGTCCCTCTTGAGTTGAAATAATCAACAAATCTATTAATCATAGTCTATTGCTTGCAAGCTGCACTTATTATGTTTTGTACAACTGGGTCAGAGGTACTACTACTAGTAGGAATGGATGTTCCTTGGATCTCTGCTAATAACAAGCGGGGGGGGGGGTCTTGTTCCGGTCTGTTCCCATGGGACATGGGCTTAAACTGGAGGATATTGTCCAGTCTCAGTGTATTCTCCTGACCTTTAACCTAAGGCTACCTCAAAGACCTATTTCCTGGAATGGTATATTTCCAACCGACCATTTTGGAGGAATACCAAAATGATGTAGGAGCTTCTTGGTATGTCTCCAAGTGGGGCAAATGCTACCAACAAGATAAAGCCTGAACGCTTAAGTATGCTTGATCTAGCACTAAAGTTCCTGGTGGGTGGGTGTAAAAAATTGTAGGGTGAGAGTATCTCTAGTTTGGTCTCTTTGCAACGGACACCAAACTAGTACAGGCAGTTTGCTGAACTACTAGTATGGTGAGAGTGGTGACATGGCCTCTGGTTGTAGTAGGATAAATGGGTGTCAACGCTTTTGGTGATGACATTGACTCCATCTTCAATACCTGTTACTTATACTACAAATCAAAGTTCCTTTGATGACGCCTTCACTTAAGTGCAACAAGCAGGATGCTTCTTGATTGATCTCAGCAGTCCTCCTCCTCGCCTCCTCCTCCGATTACTACTACTAGTAGTACTACTAGTACTAGTAGTTCTTGTTGGTTTCCTATTCATTGGGTCTGTCCATGGATTGCTTGGATCCGTCAAAGTCTTGGTGCCATGTGAAGGTGCTGGTTCTAGTGAAACTAATAGTATCATTGATGCTATTATTGATACTGCTACTAAAATGGACAGAAGTTTCGTGAGTTGTCTATCGTACTAAGATAGCTTTTCTACTAGTAGTAGTACTACTACTACTGTCTCGACCGCACCCCCCTCCCGGCGACGCATTAGCGAACCAGCCCCCCCCCGAAGAAATTTCTCATTGGATCCGTCGCGCCATGTAAACACGCGTTGTGCGCGGGAGAAGTCTCCTCGGCGAACCTAAAATCAAAAAGAACGTTCTCGGCGGTGGGAGGTTGAGCGTTGCAAGACGGCAAGAGGATGGATTCCTTATTTGGTGCCTCGTTATCGACCCTGCAAGGCTGTTTCTTCGAATGTCAAAAGAACGATCCGAACAAAACCGGACAGAACTCGATGTGTCACAAACACAAAAAGAAAAGAACTCGTACTAGGATTATTATTTTCTTCGTGCTTTTTGGACTGCGGAGCTCGCAAAATCGAAATCTACTGTAGCAAGGGATAAATCATCTTGATTGACAGGTTCTGCATCTAAGCTAACACCCTCCATCACTTCACATCACCGTAAGGGCTCACGAACACTACGATTGTCGATTCGGGTTTCTCCTCATATTCGATCCATCAATTCATCCTTACGTTACGTCACGAGACTTTAGTGCAAGACACCGCCTTATCAAAACATTCAAAGAATCCCACCGACAACACACTAATAACTGGAGTACGGAGTACGGAATAAGGAACACTCGCTAGATCTCCTAACTTGACTTTGCTCTCGAGAGACACCGAAACGGATACAACCGAGAGAGAACCCAAAAAATCCATTAACAATGACAAAAAATCACCACCATTCTTGCCAACAGCCTTCGATCCTACGGATCATTGTTTTGCTTGCTTCCGTGGCGGCTGCTGCTGCTTCGTCGAGAACCTATACCATTGCGGGCGTATACGAGACCCACTTTGAATCTGCAATCGTAAGTACTGCATTGCACTTTGTTCAAGCAATTGCATTGAATCGCATGGAATGGACTTCTTCCAACGGACTAACTGCAAAGGGCACAATGTTGAATGCATGGATGTATTCATCCTTGTGCCACTGCACAACATTTCCCTCTGACACACGGGGACGGAAAGCGGGATCTTTTGTGTGAGAATTGATTCTTGTACTATATTTGCTCTCACTCACACTCACACAACCACTGCTATTCCTTCCTTGCTCTGCTTGCTGCGTTGTACCAAACTCATCCTACTGAAAACATCGATGCACACACACACACAAACACATCAGTCGGCATCTAGGATCGATCTCGACCAGGCCGAGCTCGCCGACTTTCTGGCGAAGGATTCCGACCGTTCCTCCCACCCCGATTCCAACTGGGCGGAGAAGGCGAAGCGCGTCTACGAACACGGGGCCCACTCGGGCCCGTACGCGGTCCTCAAGCTAACCGAGCGGCTGGCGCACAACCCCGAACTGCCCAACGGCGGGATTCCGTTCGCGGCCGGGTACACCAACGATCTCAATGTCGGGGTCCACCGCCAGTACTCGCTCTATCGGTTCCGCGTGATCGGGGGCAACAGTGACTACGAGACACCGATCGAGGCATCGGTCGAGACGACGGATCCCTCCACGACGCTCAAGAGCGGGGTCACCGATACCCTGCTGGTCAGGTATCCCTGGGAATCCAGCTGCAACATCGATGGGAACCTGGACGAATGTAAGTATTTCTGTCAATGCAATCCAATGGGTGGAACTGAACAAACGAGATGGTAAAAAGTGGATCATAATTAAATAAAGATGATCGTTCTTTTTTTTTTCTAAACCGCAACAGCAACTCACCAGTTTCCTCGTTGTAATGTTTTGTTCGGATACACTCTGTTCATCCCAAATCTATATCCGTGTTCTTACCACCCACTCCACACAACTCATTTTCCACGACGCTATTCCAGGTTTTGCCGGCCCGTCCGGAGGCCTGATCCTCCAGGGGTACGGAGCATTGGACTACACCTACGATCCCTCCACCGACAACCGGTTCGCGACCTCCCTCCAATCATTCTCCGAGGATGAGGGGATGCGTATGGTCTACTGTGAAGCCCACGGGGGATGCGGCAACCGATACCCTGAGTTCCAGCGTTTCTTCGAATACTACGGATTGTTGGATTACGGCCACCACTGGATCGAATCGGCTTTTGCCAGGGAAGCGACGGCGTTTCGGGGGGACAACGGAAGGGGAAACACCGATTTTGCTCTCATGGGGATCACCGAGCGAAACGCGGCAATCTCTACCGCCACCGTGGCCATGAACGTCTTCACCGCCGTCAACCGCTTCATGGTCGAAGAGGGCGTCGACGCCTGCAACAAACACGCCAGGGACTTCTCCTCGTACGGGGAAAACAGGGCAGGCGAATCCATCCTCGCGTCCTGGGACAAGGCTGCGGCAACCTACGCGGGTTCGGCTCTAGTGAAAGACACCACCAACGGCAAAAGCAATAGTGGCACGAACTCTGACAGCAACGAATCCGGATCGCTCTATTTCCACATGGTCGAGTCCCTCGCAGCCGAGTTTGGCGTCCTGGAACGCAGCGGGGATGGCGCCATTTCTTCCGCGGTCAACAACGCTGTCATGGAGGCGTTTCGCACCGGCCGAGAGGCCCTCTCGGTAGGAGACTGCGAAGGTGGAGCCCGCGGGGCCCACCGGGAGATCATCCACAAGATGAGGGTTCCCTGGATCCAGGGAGTCCTCAAGGCAGCCTTTGTCTTGTCGAGGGAGCAGCCGGCCGACACCAGCAATGAGCGCTTCGAGGAGGCCCGTGGCAGCGGCGCCTCCTACCTGGCCGCTCTCCTGCCGGACCTGCACCAGTGCAGCCCCACGGCCGCGGATGCGGTCTACCGAGAGTTTCGCATGGCCGAGACGCCCGATCTCTTGAGGACCCCCGACTACGGAGTGGTACGGGACGCGCTCGAGCACCAGTACCAATGCCTCTCGGTGACCTGCGATGACGTCGGGGGCTACCTAAACCCCTCCGACGGGAACTACTTCCCGGAGACCAAGCCGTGCGGTGGGTATGGAAGCCGCATCGGCCAGCGCCGGGACACCGTGGCCTACGATTCGAACCTCTTCAAAACCGGCCGTGCCCAACACAAGAGCAAGGCACGCGATGCGAGCGGAAGAAACTATGCCCCCGCGGCATTCGGTCTAGCCCTCCTGGCCTTTGGCGTCTCCCTCGCGGCAGTCTTTGCGGTTGTGAACGAACAGGCAAGGCGGTCCGGGGGCCGACCCATTGCACCGGGGCAGCTCGTCTCCGCGATCGCGAGCCGGGCCGATTACTGGATGAGTGGGTTGCGATCGGGCAGCCACGGAGAGACCAGCCACGGCAGGAGCTACGAGTACGTTACTCCTTCGTGGGACGACTCTCGTGCTCCACACCACGAGGTGCAGCTTCGGTCCCTATCGTCAGCGGAAGTTACGATGCCCCGGGAAATGTCTTCGGTCGAAAGCCTGCTGTAAAACGGTTTTGTTGGTTCCGTTGGAAGGAAGGAGTTGATCACAATGATTGGCATTGGGTTGTCGATTGTTAGGTACGACGGAGCGATTCAGTTTGCTTTGATCTCCTCTGCCACGCTCCGCGGTTTGTAGGAGGCATGCCACACCATTTCCTGCGTGCTCCTATTGGGGGATTCTTATCGAAAGCATGGCAGCTTCATGGGATAGAAATGCGGTTTACGCTTTCCTTCGGGACCCGAATTTCAAAAAACAGTGAAAAGAATGGCTTTCGAATGGGAGGCAACGTTCCAATTCAATGCAACTCAAGCCGAAATTGAATTTATCAATTGGAATACTACTGACGAGCAAATTCTTTCTTGTTGTGAGCACCAAACATGAGTCGAACGAAAACCACCGCTTCGAAAAGCATGATGGCAAATCTATCTATATAGAGAGCCTGCTATATTCAACTACTTGTGAACTAAATGTCTCGAGTGCCATACCTATCAGAAAAACGCATAGTCGCATTTCTCTACTCTCGGCTACAGAATATATAAATATACATACCACTCAAGATACTAAAGGTATATCTATGATCATTCTCTCTCTGCTCAACACAGAATCAAATTCCGATGTGTATCATAACAATGTAGCACTTGTTCATTAACCAGTATTATTCTAGTACTTCCAAGGACAACTGCTTGCCAATACCACTTCTTGGGTCTTTGGCAGCTTCTCTCAGTCTACGGTAGCATTTGTTTCCCCAGCATTCGTGGAACGCTTTAGAAACGGATCCTAAGCTTTCTTGCTTCGGTCGAAACTATCCAAGAAAGAACGGGGATCCCGAATGTACTGTTCTGGGATACGGTACCGGCCGGTACAATACCCCATACTACAGGGGTCATCACCGGGTCGCAAGTGTCAAATCTGGAAGATTCGTACTAGTATTATCTTTCAGTAGTTCAGTTCGTGCGCAAAAAAAACGGTCGACGGTTGATGGTCTGATATTTTGTACTGTATGTACATATGAGATTGATGTATGTATGTTAGACAATTGGAATGATGGCCAGACGGATAGACAGTCCACTGCCAAACAAATTTACGTGCTGGTACAAACCTTCTCGGCATCAATCTTTTCCTCGTTTCCTGAAAACATGAATTTGTTGGCGAGTCCGAACTCCTACTAGTTGAAGCAAAAGAAAAAATTCGAAGTCGAATTTATTATTCATTTATGATCGCATCATACACGCACTGCTCCATCGCAACGTAGACAATCCATCTTTTCAAATAGAGAAGTTTCAAGAATTATTGGTAACGAAAACGTCGAGTGACCACAATGGAAGACGACGATGGATTTCAACTCAATACCGTGAAGAGGAAGAAGAAGAACGGAGGCGCCGTTCGGCTATATCTGGGTGGTCTGCCAGTCAACAACGATAACAGCAACGGCGAAATAGAACAAGCGAATCTGAGGAAATGGCTCCAGGAGCATCTTCCCGATGGCACCGAAGTCGGTGCGATCGAACTCAAGCACGGGTCCAAGAATGCGAAGAAACCGTCTTCGTTTGCCTTGGTCGAATGCAGTGGTGCTAATGGCATCAACGACGTTATACGAATCCTAAAGCAAAACTCTGGTTGCGTGTACAATGGAAGCAAGATGACCATTCAACGAGAACAACGAAGCGGCAACAAAAACAACAACAAGGTGCGCCAGCGGAGCGGTAACAACTACACAGGAAAGAGGCAGTTCGGGTTCAAGAACAAACCGGGTGGAAACACCTCTTCGGGGGGAGCATCCCTTGCTTCGAAAGGCTGGTCGAAGCCAGCATCCATGGAGGAAGAGCCACCCTCCGAAATAGAAAACGAATGGTCGGATATCTGGAACGAGCAGGAACAGCAACAAGAACTACGGCAAAAGCCGATCACATCCATCGATGAGGCCTCTGAACGGATCGCCAGCGTAGTGTCGAAGGAAATTGCCATGGCCAAAACCGTCGACGACAAAATCAATGCGGCCATTGCTTCAACTGCAGCCACCACGATGATGACCTCCGTCATGGCATCTCTGGCATTTGGTTCGCAAGGCACAAACGATGACGAAGCGAGCGCAAACCCAATCACGGACTTTTCCTCTTATGCGAAGGAACAAAGCATGCAGAGTTTGCTCGACGATTTCGGAGAAGAAGATCCCGACTGGAAAGAGAAAGTCGTCGACGAGGAAGACCATGTTGCTGCTGAGAGCAGTGCTGGTATTCCTTCCATGAAGGGGAACGACTTTGCTACCTTTGTTCGGGGGCAGTCGATGGCCGGCTTGCTTGAAGATTTTGGTGAGGCCGATCCCGACTGGAAAAACAAAATTGTGGAAGAAGAAAGCGATGCACCTGCGACAAAACAGTTGTCGGCCTCCAGCACTCCCTCCGCTAAAGGAAAAGATAGCAACGGCAACAGCAATGTTTCACGCCTCGCCATGAAGGGTCGGGCACCGATCCATCTGTCCATCGAGTCATTCGGTTTTGTCCACGGAGCACCATCACGAAAATCCAGGGACCGGTCGGGGAGCCCATACACACAGCCCATGGGGCTCCTCTCGGTTGGCGACGACGTGACCGAACCGGTGCCTACCCACCTCGAATTCCACGACGGATTGCGGTCGGGGGTCATCAAGCGGATGCTAAAGAGCGCCCCGCTGGCAACATCTAGCATCGAAACCACTTGCAGCTCGCTCGACGCCTACGACCGGGACGAAGAGGACACAGAACCAGACCTGTCGAGCTACAAAGACTTTTTCGATTACTGCAACCGGTATCTCGCAGAGTTTCGCATCTATCCGTCTCTAGTCGACGCTATTCACGAGGGCGGTCACGGATATGTGAGCCCACTGACCATGAATTTTCAGATCGGGAGCCACCTTGGGCGACACCGATCGGTGGTGGCCGTAGAAAAGGTGGCCCAGCACCTGCGGTCCCTCCTCCGTGCCAACAAGGATGGCAAGATAACATGCTCTGTCTCGGTTGGAACTGTCCATCGGGACGTAAATAAGAGGATTCCCAACAAGATCTACAAGGAAGACGACGAAGACCGCTACGATAAAAACGGTCGCATTTAATGAAGGACTCGCAATGCTCTTTTTGAGAAATCAATTGTGCCATTTTGCGCCTTGTTGTCTTTGAGAACATCCATATCATGCTAGAACAACTATCCTATTACACCTCCTCTTGCATATTCATCACTTAGTGAAGCAGTGGCTGCTTGAAAACAGTAACAGGATCAACAATCCGTCCGTTTGATGCAGAGCAAGTGAAATATATTGTCGAACAAATGATGAGAGGTTTGGCACTTCGACATCGCTATCATTTCAGCATTATGAACGACAGATTAAAAAATGAGAACTCGTGCGGTTTCGTGTGTGATGCGGAAGCTTGGACAAGATTGAAATATTAAGTTCCTAACATGCACGACCCGATATTGCTAATGATGAGTTCGAAGTATAACATGAATGAATTATGCCACTACTGCAACAGACTAACTCCAGGAAGTACTATTCGGGGTATCCCACAATGCATACTGTGCAAGAGACCAGCAATGCTACAATGCGGCAAGGCTAATGAATATTGACCCAAAAGAGGACTTCAAACCAGAAGAGAATCTAGCATTTCAAAGGCAGTAATCGTTTCTACTAGGACCATTTGCACTACTAGTAGTAATTGTAGTGGGATAAAAAAAACGCTCAAATCTTCTTATTTCTTGTTGATCCCCCAGTACGCCATATTTGTCCCATCAAGAACAACAAGAAGAAACGAGCCCAACAATTCCTGAGAGGAGTAGCTGCAAGGCTGGTGCCAGTAGAAATTACTTGTTCTACTAGTAGTGCTTCTACTAGTAGCAGTGCTATTTTACAACCAAGAAGAACACGGCTGAGGAAAGGTGTGATCCTCCTCCTTACATTTTCTTCTCTTGTTGCTAATTACTCCTGCTAGTAGTAATAGAACTAGTTCTACTACTACTACTAATACTACTAGTAGTTGTTTTCTGTTGTAGTAGTTGTAGTGGTGGTGGTGGTGGTGGTGGTGGGACAGGTGTGAGGAGAATCCTGACAACGGACCCCTAGAAATTATGAATGAATTGCCAGAGAGGCAGGAGAGTAATGTTCTGGGCAATTATAAATTATATCATAGCCCCTTCGATTTCTTACCTTAAATTTATGATTCCATTCCCTATGTTTTGTTCTACAGCAACACGAGAGCAATAAGTGATAAACGAAGAATAAGTGGTTCTGAACTGTCTGCTCCAGTACGGTTCCCAATTAAATGAGATTGTTTAAGTAAGCGTTAATATCGTATGTAATTGTTTTCCATTCAATTAGTGTCATTTACTTTCATTCAACTTCTTCTTCTGCGTTCTTCTTCTGCGTTTCAACTTGAAGTCATTCGTTTACAATTACAGCTGGCGGCATCTGTTTCTGAACGGCTTAATATAAAACAACTTTGTTAAGTCAAGTATTGCTCTCTTTGAAGTAGTAATAATTATTAGTAGTATTTTGTATTTTCTACTAGTAGCTGTTGGACGAGATGAAGCTTCGTATTTTGCACAATAGCTAGTAAGTACACGTACGAGTAAAAGTGTCCAAGGGAACTTCAGTTTTCGGTACCGTACGGTACATGTCGAATACGGTATTTCGGAATGCGTAGTGCGAAGTATCGGGATACTCTTTGTTCCACACATAAGATGAGATCCATTTGATGGAACATTTTCACTGGGCCGAACGTTGTAAATGAGATAAGATGGATTCATGTCTCCCTTCGTCGATCTTTGCCACGTCCATGGGGGAGAACGTAAACCACCGCGACAGATTTGGCGACACAGCAACTCCTAATGCCGTGGATGAGCATAGAAACAATGCATCATTGGTCTATGACCGTGCGAGTAGTGGAACCATAGACAGCGATGTCAACAACGGCAACGGCAACGATAACATCAACGTCAACGTCAACGTCAACGTCAATGTCAATGTCAACGTCAACGTCAACGTCAACGAAAATGATTACAGCGATCACAACAAACCACTAGACTTTCCCTACAAATTTCCAGATGCCATGTCCAGTACTGATGGCACGGCGGAAGATTTGCTATCTTGCGGATCTTCCTTAGAAGATCTCGGGGTCACTGAACGAGGAAGCGGCGAGGACCATCGTCTTTCCCCTCGCGAAAACCACGAATCGGTTGGTTGGATTGGGAACAATGATAACATCAATAATGCTCCGAATGTGGCAACCACCGATGCGTCGTCTTCGTCTTCCTCCTCCTCCTTGCCAGTGTCAAGGCCGCCCCCAATGCCTAAATCAGAGGAGCTGTCAAAACCGCAAGCGACGGACACAACCTTGGTAAAAGAAAACGGCCAGACACAGACTCCACCTTGCAGAGAAAATTCTCCTTCGTTTCGTTCATGGGTCAGTTCTGGTGATGCAAGCAAAGCCTCTGATTCAACATTTACTACAAGAAACATCAGCAACCACAACGCCAGCGAGGCCAGGATCGAAGGACAAACGATTGAAAATCCAATTTTGAAACACGACGAAAGGCATCGTTCTTATAGGGGCGACTGCAGCATTAGCAGTAGTGATAGCAACAACGACAGGAAAAGCTCGACGCTTTCGGTCAATGACGACGAGGACTGTCCAATGGAAACAGAGGAATTTCCCCGGAAGGATACAGAGCCAGCCGAAGTTGATAAAGAAATCGAAAACCTAAAATGCCAACTCGGAAAGCTTTGGTGGGCAGAATCTAATCAGGACCTAAGGAGCAAGTACGAACGCGACAAGTACGGCCGGCTCTTGATCCCAGACGAAGAACGCCTCGGTCACCGATGCGACGGCGGCAAAAAAGTGAACGCAAGCGTCCATACAGTGAAGTCTAATGCAAATATAACCGCCAACGTTCCTGATTTCTCTTCTAGCAACACTTCCCCCGACAGAAGCTACGATGTGAACGGCGTCCCCCGTTCGGTAGGCATCTCTGATTTTTACAGAACAGTGATCTTTAATGTCAACTGTGTCTCCAAAAATTGGTCTGAGCATTTGAAGAATATGACTGCGCGGTTGAACAGTTTTGGTGACAGAGTCCCCATTGCTGGTGAGAATGTCGCTTCCGACGAAAGCCTTCGGGACATGGATCCCAAACTGCAATACTCCATGACCTTGGCCGACTCGGTGGACAAGGCCTGGGCGAAAGAATTGTACGAGTCGGATGCCCGGGAACGAGAGGACATTATCAACGAAATCCACGGGATCCAGAGCTCGCGAATGGTCAACGAAACCCCTGAGCTCGTTGCGGACGCTGTTAGGGCCCTGCGCGAACACATCGAAACCAACGTCGACGAGCCGCTTGACAACGGGGACAGCATCGTTCCCCCCATTACCAAGGACGCATACAAGCGTGCCGTATTTGATCTCAAGAGTGAATACGTGCAATCGGAAGCATTTTTAGTGAAATTCCTAAGGGCATGCTTCTTCGACATCGACAAGGCGGCTCTTCGGTATTTCCGGTACCTAGATCTGCTCCACGATCTATTTGGAGACGTCGCCCTAACCAGGTCCCTTGCCATGACGGATCTCACAAAGCGTGAAATGCGGTACTTGAGAAAGGGACAGATGCAGCTCCTGCCAAGCCGCGATCGTGCCGGCCGTCGGATGTACGCGTTTTCTGGCTGCGACGACTGGACCTTTAACATACGCGAAAAGTACCGCATCAACGTATACCTCGTCGACGTTCTTGCGGACGACGTCACGACGCAAATCAAAGGGGCAGTCTCGCTCAACGCACCCCGGATCGGAACCGGAAGCAATCCCTTTGGCTTTGAGGGCATGACGCTACGCGTGGGGAAGCAGGAATTGCTGGGCGGGAAATACACCGAACCAGAGTACTTTCGCAAGATCAACGAGGCCATTCCATTCCGGTTCTCTGCGTTGCACTACTTTGCGCCAAACAACATCATTTACAACATTGGAAAGTCTATAATCCTCACCCTTCTTGGAAAAGAAGATCGAAAGGTTGTCCGGTTCCATGCCGGATCCCAGATCGAATGCGAATACAGCTTGCGGTCTTTTGGGATTCCCCACGAAGATCTTACCATCACGGACGGAGCCAACATCAAAACCAAGAACGTGCAAAAGTTCATCAAGGCGAGACAGTCGATCGAAAGTTTTCGTGAGAAACAGCGAAGACAACAGCAAGAGGGCGGAGATGACTGTCCACAATCACTGCTCAAAGACAAACCCGGAATCGAATGCCCGGAGGTTGACTGCATCGTCTTTGGGGACAAGGCGCTGAACAACCACCAAGCCAACGCAGAATTCCGGAACATTCTCAAGATCGTGGAACGAAGTCGAGAAGAGCAACTAGCAATCGCTAGAAGACAGTCGAAATGCTCAACAAACGATGAGCCCAAAACTCCGATCAAGGACTATATTGATGACATCATACAGATTGCGAAGTCTCCACCCCATAACCTCCGTTTTTTGTTTTTTGACAAAAAAAAGCACTTGTACGTAGAATTTGATGACCACAACGAACTCTGTAAGAGAGTGTCGCAGTCTTTGAGGGACCAGAGAAAGCGCTTCCGACTGGAAGACGCGAAGGTTCGGGGAGTCAGAGCGGTAGAAAACGATCAACGCCACGAAAGCCAGTGCGTGCTAGACAATGGATCCATTATGGGCTCGGATGCCGCAAAGCGACACAAGCGATTATCCGACGGGGACAAAAATTGCCTAGATCTTTTTTAGGAGAGCAACAACATTTAGTGCAAATCAAGTTATAATATTAACTACAATTTTTCATTCATGGTTGCAATTCTTCTTCATTATACAAGATCGCTTGGAGAAATAAAAAGGCATGGTCTCAATTTGTAAGAAAACGCAGTCCGTCGATTCTCAAGTCTTGCAATTAGATCCAACCCGGGGGTGTCAGTTTCCACGCTTGAAAAAACAGCAATTATGTTTCTCTTGCTGATTTGTATCGAAAGCCATTGTAATGCAATCACCACCATGGCATACCCAAAACGAATTGAAAACTTCTGTGATTTAATCGAAGGGTGTATGATGAAACCACGATTCCAAAGAAACAATTTTAAAGTAACAGATATTGCAATAACAGTCGACGGCACATACCACATGTGCCCTGTACCTAATTGTTTCTGTGACAACCCTTGCTACCGCCTTGGGCGATGTGGAGTAGACCATTTCAATAGTTTCAAACAGCTTAGAGGTCGAACTACATAGTCTCCGGTTTCCAGTCGCGATGAACAATGTTCATATTGTGTATGTATGGAAGAGCATATTAGTATTGCGAACATATCTTGGATTTCTTGATATCCCTCTGGAGCGACTTCGTAGTACTGGATGTTCGGAATTGGCTTTGTTGCACTCATATTGTTTCTGTCATTGGGATCTCAATTTATTCTTTATGCAACAGAACGATTAACCTTGACAAAATCGAGGAGTCGTGTCTTAGTATAGACCATGCCGCTCGTGATCTTATGGCGAGTAAAAAATGGATTTTTGACTCCCGAAAGTAGCTGATAACGAACAGCATGCACCTATGTTGTACCGTGATGCATTAGCTTCAATTGGTTTGCAGTCTACTGTAGTGTTTTTCCAATCAGTAAAACTATAACATCGTTGTTCATCGGTCGGAACTTGATGTATGGAAGCATGGTACTAGTATGGAAAAGATGCATGAAAGTTTTCAGTTCAAAATCGTTTCCTTTCTTCCGAAAATGACAGTGTGTGCTTTTGGTTTTTGCCAATCGGTCTGTTCTCGTTCACGACCACTGCCACTKGATTTCTATGTTCGTTTGACTTGAATCCACCATTAAGAAAAACCAACAAATGCCCAATATAGAACAAATGCTATGTAAATTCGCCAATTAATGAGGCAAGAATCGACACGGCATTACACGGGATGGCACTCGCTTGTTAGCCACCTTGCTCCGACATATTAAATTGTCCCGGACACAACCACGATTCTACAACGGCGTTAGAATTCTAGATAACAGTTTTGTATTGTTTTCCTGCCGTTGTGTTTCACTTCATTTCCGTGTGCCCATGGAACGAAAGAGACAACTTCCCATCGATCGAATTTATTCTATTCCATGAGCATTGTCGGGATGTGATTTGAGTTCAAATGCTCGATAGAGTACACCACGTAAAAAATCAACAACCAAATGGTAATCCCACACCATGCCGAAAAGCTTGCTTCATCGATGGAAGTCCGGAGGCAGAGGAGATTGCAGCAACAACTGTGCAAATTGGAAGATCGTCGACGAAGGTGGATTTCGTTGCTGCTATCATTTCTGTAACCGTGATCGTTCGTCATTTCTAGTTATTGTTTCTCGGAAAATATTTCAGCATCGTTAGGTAGGCCGGGTATGAAGGGGTCGTACCTCCGCAGACTGTCAAAGAAAAATTTACCGGGACGGGATGTTACAGTTGCCATTTCAGGTATCGTACCAGTTTGTTCCATTTTCTATTACTATTTCCAACAAGACGCGTTTGTACCGGTACCTCGGTACATCTTGTCTTTTGACGTGTTGACTTCTAATGTTCAAATACAAACGGAGTACAGTATCTAATATCTTTCATCAGTACTTGTACCGCCACGAGGTACGAGAGCGGTAGGTAGTCATAGTGTTCATAAAATAAGTATGCGCGTTTTAGGAAAAAATAGCGCATCTTTGTATTAAAAATAAAATATGCAATGCAAAAATCATAATTTCACTCAACGGTTCGTTTTGGGCAATACATTGTTTTGGAGGAAAGCTGGAACTGACGTTGAAGTTATGCGTACGTGCGCGCGCCCATCGGCAACAATGTGGGAACCACCCGTAGTAGAGAATTGAATCCAACCGAATACGTACCGTACTGGACCGTACCGGTACGGTCGAAATCGTGCTGTATTGTTTTTGTGAAGCTGGCATGTGCATGCCGCACCTTTTTTTGGATCTTCTAGGAAATCGTTTTTGTGCCGGTATCCTCGTTTGGGACGTAACATGCGGGTTCATGCGGTTACGAGTACGAATACCATGCTGAGAGAAACTAACGGAACTTCCCTTTTTTTGGGAAAGCAAGGCAGACTCTACGAAGTCACTCGATGACGATCCACTCCTCGACTACAAATCGTATACGGTAGAATAGGTGAATGAATCAAATCAATCGCCTCGCTTTACCTTACAGTGCTGTGAATTTTTCGACGAGAACAAGCAAAATTCCATTTTTTTGGATAAAATACATCACAACCATCTTTCTCATCCGTTCGTGATTCAGACACAAGCGCACGCAGAGGCTTTCTGCAGACGATACCTCCTGCAATATCAATAACATTGCATTGAAGAACGATTTTGAATGGCATTGAAAATACCAGAAATTATCAGCAAAATGGCAGAAGCGGCAAAAGCTAAATTCGAAAAGGAGAAAAGTGATGTCTTGAAGGCACTCCCGGACGAGATCAAGGACGTCTTTGGAACCATTGGCTTTTGTCCCGGAGAAGACGACGACGATGAGGAGGATTCAGGAGAGAAGAACGAAGCAACAGCTAGATCGGACCCTGCCGAGCCATACATGCAGCCCGTATTAATTGTCAGCCCCTACGACGTTCCGCCAAAACCCATCCGAGATATTTATTGGATGGACGCCTTCACCAAGGCAAAGCGCAGCAAGGCAAAGCTGAAAAAGCTCGACTATCTCGTATACGTCTACGGGAGCGACGATCCCGACGACTGCTACAATTTTGTGTCCCACGAAGACTTCGTCACGCTGGAAGAAGGCAGGGCGAGCGGTTTTGACGTTCTCCCCCCCGCGGTGGCGGCCAAATCGGAGGAGGAGCGCACAGCGTCAGAGAAGAAACTGGTCCGGGCGGTCGAGGCACTGAACAACGATCTGGCCAAGACACCAGAGGAACGCCGCAAGCACGGGGCATCCTTCCTTGAGGGATACGAAAAGATCAAGGCCAAGGAAGACGCAAAGGATCAGCCGCCGGCGAAAAAACAGAAGACATAAAACAAAACGAAACGAAACGAATCAAATCAAATGGATCTGGCGGGAAACAAATAGTCACTTATTGCGCGATATGGGAGGTTGGTGTGTAGGAAGAAAGACAAAATCATCGTCACACTTTCAGCAATTATCGACTCAACGCAACCGCAACAGTCAAAGGGAAAATCAAACACATCGTAGGGAACGAATGATCGGGCAGGAAGATAAAACGAAGAGCAATGGGGAACGACGGGGTTTCGGGAATCGTTCCACACTTACAGTAATGTATTCCAATCAGAAGATGCCAAAAATAGCGGATTACTAAACCAAAATCTTGCAATTTAATCTAACATTAGAATCTTACAAGGAATATTATATTTATCAACCACCATTCGCTGTGAAGAAGAGAGACAGAAATCTTTTCCTTGTCAGGGCTGGAGACTTTGCCATCTTTTCCCTTACCATTGGAAAAATACATGAGAATACTACTGGATTAGATCTATAGTAAGGTGCAAAAAAATGCAGACATTTGGGAACAGAGGTCTCATAACTGGTGGAAGAATAGAATGCACAACAGAGAGGTCAAAGCATCTCCGTAGTAATATCAATACTCACATTCTTTGACCCCTTCAAAAGATACTAGTCACAACATTCCAAGCTCTCATTGACTTAGCTGTGGGATTATTGTTGTGTGTCACCCATCATCTTGTAGTAGTATTCTAGTACACCAACAGCACATACTATGTGGCTGGTAGCTATCTTAACCCAAACAATAGCCTATTACTATATTATATTGTAACACAACAATCATGGCACATTGACATACCATACTCCCCAATACAAGATTGGAAACATGACCTATATATAAAGATGCAGTTCATCAACAGCACGGTAAATCCTGCAGATGCACTGACAAAACCTCCTGGCTGGGTCCTCTTCACCAGGCACTTTGTTCCTGCTCCACCCGAATGATATCTTCCTTCCTCTTCTTTTCTGCTATGATCTGCTCACTTCACACATCACAGATCATAGAAGGGTGCTGTCCATAGGATATCAGATCGTGGGTATGATCCATATCTATGATGTATAAATATGACACATATCTATGATTCATACACACTCTACATTCACGACTCATTTGATCCTACTATGGATCCACCCAATTGACTTGACTCATTTGATTCACACACATCACTTGATCTTCATTCTGATCAATCTGGACAGCAGTTGTTGTACTAGCATCACTTAATCCTTTTCCTTGTTTTTCTTGACTGCCACAAGAAAATCATTTTCTTAAAAAAACTGAAGCTTGTGAACTACTAGAAGAGGCACTGGTGGGGCAACATCTACTACAAAGGGATGTTGCCAGCAGCACAAGAAACTCATCTATTGTTGTTACTATTGTTCTTACTATTTCTTGTTTGGGTCTTCCTACTATGATGGTTGCTATGTCCTAGTATCCTGGTGATTGGTCTATTCTTCAGTGATTGTTGTTCTTCTTGTCCTTCTGTCTCTCAGCCCCATCAATATCCCATTCCTTTGTAGATCCTATGTGTCATCTTCAGCCTTCTTCTTGCTGGTGGTATCTGCAGCACCCACTAAATGTTCTTCTTCTTGCTCTTCTTTTCTGTAAGATTGCTTCTTGAATAAAATGGGACCACCTTTGGTACACAGGTAAACAGGAGTGGAAAGTAGAATTGAAGTTCTATATTGCATATAATATTGGGGATACAGAATTTCATGACAAACGTTGTGGAAAATATGGCTCCTTTAACTTGGATGTGCAGGCATTGTAAAATGGAACCACCAAGTGGACACCAGAGGACTTCCACTCCTTTCCTGATGGGAGTCCAGAAGTGAAGATAAAGTACTTCAAGAATCAGTCACACCATGATGTCAAGAATACATTTCATGGTCTCTGCTTTGGTTCAAACCACCACAACATTCACTTTGCCACACCTGGTGAATGTCTGCATATGCATCAGCAGCTAGGCACTGCAAAGCATGCTGTTGATGGTTCTGTGAAGTGTGACTATGGTCCTTTGTTGAGCATATGCCTGTCTTTTTCTAAGAAAATAGGGCATCTTGCTAAAAAATATTGTGCTCTGTGGTCTCACCAGTGTGACAACAGCAATTTTCTACAAAGAACAAAATTTTGCACCACCCACCTCCTCTTTTCAACAACCAAAAATCAGGTCATGATTAGTATTCTGGAATGCTTATAACCATTCTTGTTGCAATATCCTCCAAACTTGGATTGGACATTATTCAGGACAATGAAGAAGCAGGAGGACTACTATACTATTACTAACAATTTGGGTACAAGAAGGAGAAGAAGAAGCAAGAACAACACAACAAATAGCTACTACTAGTAGTAGTACTAGTAGTACTACTAGTACTACTTCACTTCAGAAAAAAATCAATATTATTTATTATTTAATTTCAATCTTAAGAATCTTAATCTTAAGAACCAGTAGTATAAGAGTCACTAGGGAAGCAAGAACTATTTGACTACTATCAGTTGTATTCTTGTTTCTACTAGAAGAACCAAGTTAGTGTCTCCAAGGAGCAGCATCTACAGGAGGTACTGTACATGAGACTGCGATTTAATTGGTTCATGCATGGGGAGTATTAGTTTTTAGTACACGTCATCTGTCTAATGCCCGCATTTACGAGAATGTCATCAAACCCGTTGCAAAATTGGCGCTCATGCTTGTTTGCAACGCTTTGGTGTTCTTTTTGCTCCCCGATGCTCTACGATCGATCATCACTTCAAGTGTTACGATTACAGGTACTCCTGCGCATTCATTGATTCATTGAGCTGTACGAGTCGTTCATTCTGCACCTCAGTGTTAGAAGAAGTGCATTACGCGTCTTATCCTGCTATATTTGAAACAAAACGACGGTTGTTTGACAGATCTCGATTCTTTTTACTATGATGCCCTCAAGATGTACATAGAGCGCCAAAACTTGCGGCCGAATCGGAAGCATCGAAGAACAGAAGGGGCGAAGAACAACAAAAGCGACGACAAACTCGAAAACAATCTTCGCTGTAAAATTGGTGGCGGTTACGAACGCATTTTGTTTTTTGCCGTCGACCCAAAAACCGCACAGTTGCGATTGCAATTTCCCGCGGCTCACTGCGATGGCGAGGAAGACTTCCGTTTTCCCCATTACTATTATTGTAACCGGAATGATTCAAGATACGATGCACCAGACGATACGGATTTGAGCTTTCATTCGGAACGGCAACGCCATTCGCAGCCTCTGTACTCCGAATCGCCATCGCATCCGCTGCAAAAAGGAGGTGATTCAAAATCTGATTCGCTCTGCCAATTTTATACAAGCCGTGATAGGCGGAGAGACCGAAACGAAGTGTTGCGAGGAGAAGAATGGCGGGTACAGTGCTGCGACTTGCGACAAGACGAAAACCAGTTTTCCCTTTTTTGGGACGAGAGCTTGCGAAACCGCCATCGCATTGAGCGCTTATCGATATCAACGGCACTAGAAATGACATTCTCCTACCACCAGAGAGAATTGTATGATTCCACCAAGGATGCTGCAACTACCGCTTCCTATAACGTGGCCGCAGTCTCGTTCGAGATTGTTCTGGCCATAGTCGCGGCCTTTCTCAGTCTGATCACTATACTTGCTGTTACGCTGCCTCTAATCAAAAAAAAGAAACGAACCAGGGCATCGACCTACAACCTTTACCTGGCTTTCTTAGCCGTACCTGATCTGCTCTACAATGCGTTTCTGGCCTACCTCTTTTTGACTTATGATCGGTGGATAGAGCTCCCTTCGTCGAACATCGAGGAAACCTATGCGAGTAACAACTATTACAGCAGCAGCACATCTTCGGAAGTCCCCCAGCAGGGGGGGCAAACCCCTCTCTATGGGCTGCCCTTGGTGGACCACGGTGACGACACCGCCCTCTTTCTCGGCTGCGCGACGGCGAGTCTCTACACGAACGTGGTTATCTGCTACGAGATTCTTAAGCTCCTTCGGAACTCCAAACATCGGAAACGCTCCAAGGCTCCGACCCTCCGAAAAGCCTGCATACAGGCCTCGGCGACCTATTCGCTCGGGATTTTGGTGGTCCTGGTCGGTGTTTTTGCTGGAGATTCTATGAGTCATACATTGATTGTCATCCCCATTGTGTATGTATTCACTGTTGCGATTCCTATATCCTATATGTTTTGGGTTACATACCGTATCTGGTGTGAGGGCCTGCTATCTCACACCGCAGGGACTGGGAGGCGCATGAGGGTGCTTGTTCGATACTTTCTTCGGATTGTGTTTATATTTATCTGCATCTGGTTGCCGGCCTCGATTTTATACATCCTTTACTGGACTCCTTCTATGCCTCAGGGCCTCTTGCATTACCTGGCTTGCGTCTTTTTCGCTATCCAGGTGTTTGTGTCCTTCGGATTTTCTCTGACCAAACCAGATATTCGGAGAAACGTTGTAGACCTCGTTGTTGGATTTTTGTGTTGTTGCTGCCTGGAGTTCCAAAAGGAGATGCTTCCAATCGGCGATGCGGCCACCGGCATGACTGAGTCGGGAATAACCGAGCAAATTTGCGACACGCCGAAACCGATCAAAGAAGAACCCGAAGAAGAAGACCAGAACCCGGACAGCGAGACCCCAGAGGACCACCATGTTCAACAAGATTCCAAAAGTGATTCTGATTCCTATTCCGTATACCTCAGTGGCGAGAGCGACGACGACGACGACGATGAAATCACGTGGTCGTCGTTCAGGAATCGCCCCAGTTTCAAGCGCTCTTGGTTCATTGATCACTCTGTGTTTTCACTTATGTCATCAAGGAACTACGCAGGTTCTAGTTTCTGGAGAAGAAGGAGTACCATGTCTAACTTGAGGCAAGGGAGAAGTGATTCGCCAAAGTCTGTTAACGAGAGCGGAAAGAAAAGTAGCTTTTTTGGTTCATTTTGTCTATCACCTTCTTCGAAGAGCAATGCCGTGTTTGACATTGAGCACGTGAGAAAGGGTTCTGGCGGGTTCGTTCACCACTACCATGGTGATAGTGATGACGATATTAATGACATCGAGGCACATCCCAATGATAACGAAAGCAACGGCAACGCACCACGGCTCGTTGTGCATTCCTTGGAAGAGATATCCGGGAAGAACGAACCTCTCCAAATGCCAACTACTGAGACTACTGGCCCTCTGGCCCCGGTTCTCGCTCACTCCAACGACAACAAGATCAATCCTGAGGATGAAACCGAAAGGAAAATGCTGAGACCAGAAGAATGGCCATCGGTACATCATAGTAGTACCAATCTCTCGACCAGAACAGATTGTAGCAACGAGAACGATCGGAGCATCGACGGAGACAACGAGAGCATCGAAATCGTGTTCAGCGGGGATGGCACGAGCGATGATCTGGACTCTGTGTCAAGCGACTTGTTCGACTTTCGATCACTAATGGATTAGCACATCGCTTCAGCATTAGGGGTCATAATTTAAGATGGGTGCATGACACATCTGCCAAACTCATATTCCATCCTTGGTACCAATAAGAAAAATTTCACTAGAGAGTTTTTCACCTCATTTTTACTGCATAACACTGCATAGTAAAGTCCACTTGAAAGACCCCATGCACAGGAACAGTTTCAATCACTCTCTGATTTTCAAACTTCATACAGAGATCTCTCATATCGTTGAGAGTCAATTACCACCAGTAAGTGTTTGTAGGGTTTTATTGCTGTATGCAGTTCAAAATTTGAAGTGCCAACAAAGGACTGGTGGTAGTGACAGACCACCACCAGCACACCATACTGGTACTACTGTATTTGCAGCAGAAATAGTCTGTCCTTTGTCCTTTCAGTCCCACCAGTCTAGCAGTCCTTAGCAAAACTTTGAACTGCCTGGTGTCCTTCATCTGTTTCTTGCACTAATTCATTTCTGCTAATAATCTAGTCAAATTTCAACTATGAAAAATATCATAAGAATCAATGTGATGCCCAACAAATTGGTAGTATATTCAGAATCAGCATTAAAAACTGGATTCAAGAAGACTATGTTCTAAAATCATAATAGTGGTATTTTAAATAAGGTAATTGTTGAAGGTTGGGTAGGTATATTACCAGCAGTACATATTATTCAGTGAAAATGAAGTGAAAAAATCTCTAGTGAAATTTTTCTTATTGGTACTGAGGATGGAATATGAGTTTTCACATCATGCTGCTGCAGAAGGTTTTGATGTGTTGTGCACCCCTGACAAGCACTACTACCAGGATGATACAAAACAGTGTAATTCCATATACTGGACAAAGCTACCAGAACTCCAACTAGTTCAACCAAATTAACCACTAGTAGTAGTAGCATTGGTGAGTAGATGGGATAAAAAATTCTTGCTAGTAGTAGCAGTATGGTGGCACATGGTTGGTTGCGTAAAGGCTAGTATAATAGAGACATTGGGGGTTTATGGGAAACAATTTTCATGAAGTAAAAATTTTATAGTAGGTCTTTTCTGGTAGATTTATGGTAAAAACATACTATTAGTTGATACTACTACTAGTACTAGTATATCATGGTAGTACTAGAGCAGACCCCCCTACTAATAGTCAATATGTGGTAGAAACAAAGTCAATATTTGGTACCCAATTGGCACTTGCCACATCGTAGATAGGGGATCGGGGAAAGCTACTACTAAAAATTGACATTAAATCAGATATCAATCTGATTTATATATGATTTGTGATTTGTAGTACTATTCCTTTTCTAGTTGATTTGTTGTCAAACTCTGGTAGAAAAAAAACTCGAATTTTAGAAAAATAGTTTCCCAGAACTGCCAATATTCATAATCAGGTTGCATGTACAATGCCTACGGTAACGGTATGCACATGTCTGTTCTTGCGCGTTGTAGCAACAGTTTATGCTAGTAGTCAAACTAGTTGGAGGAGATCTGTTAGCTTCCAGTACATAAAATTATGCTCTGTTTCGTATTGTCCCTGTATTTTGGTACTTTGCACCATCTGAAACTGTGAGCAGAATGACTAAATAGACCCCTGGGATGTTTGGCCTTAACATTCAGATTGTGGCGGGTGCCCATGCATGTGCATACCCTCATTTTTTTCAGGTACTGAAAAATAACACACGAAACCACAGGATGCAGCAGGAGTGCCAAGATAGTACACACAAAAAACCAAAGTCCTCAATGACCACAACACAGGCACACAAACACATTAAATGCACCTCTCCCTCCAACCACTGTCCTTCCAATTGTAGCTAAGATCACAAATCAATCTACTTCTCACTTTGCATTATTTTTCATTGCCACATCCCCAATATATCCTGCAAGTTTCAGAGTGAGTGTGTTACTACTTAGATTGCTTTAGGAGGTATTTGGAAAAATTTGGAACTGTATTCTGCCTATTGCTTTTGTTCCACACGGTCCACCAGTACCTAATTCTGACTAAATATTTTAATTGGCATCTCTCTTTTTCTAAACAAATGTTTTAATCAGCATCTCTCTTTATTCTGAACAATTCTATGTATTCCCAAAAACAGTTCACCTCAACAAGGCATTGTAACTTTCAGAGTTCTATTCCGCCCAACAACTACTACCTCAAGGCAGGCAGGTAGCAATATTACCAGCATGACTACAAACCCCCCTACAAATAGTGGAGCCACCATCACCACCAATCTAACTGATGATTATGAGAATTTGATGTCAGAAGGCAAGTCTTGGGAATGTGATATGGTATTTAATGTTGCCATACCTGATCCACAAAAGGAAAGTGAAGATCCAGTGTTGGTCAATCTGTCTGACCTTTTCAGGAGAGGAAAGTCCTACACTTTTCCCTCTCACTTTGATGGCCGTGACAAACAATCCAGGTTGGTGATTATGTCCTTGAAGTTGCAAATATTTTATTTGGGCTAATAGCGCATTGTATTCCAAACATATATTTTATTCAGGGTACTAGCATATTTTATTCAGAACAATTATTTTATTTGGGCTAATAGCGGATTGTATTCAGAACAATTATATTATTCGGGGTACTACTAGTAGTGCATTTTATTCAGAACAATTATTTTATTTGGGCT